CCTTCCACCCCACCTCCCCAGTGGGTCATAGGACCACTTGCCTCCTTTACACTCTAGACTTCTTTCTCAATGAACTGATAGAAACTCACTGGCATTTTCAGAGTTTATTCCAACAGAACTCACAACTTTTCCCATTCCCCACACCTCCTAAGTGAATACCACCCATTTCTTCTAACACAATTATGGTTTGCCTGGTCACCTAGGTCCAAAATCTCAATCTCACCTTCAATTCCTTCCTCCATCTCAAGCCCACATACAAATAACTACAAAGTCTTAAAGGTTGACCATTTGTACTACTTCCCACATTGACCCCTTCTTCCCATTCCCACTAACCCAGCGGTTCTCAACCTGTGGGTCGCGATCCCTTTGGCGGTCGAATGACCCTTTCACAGGGGTCGCCTAAGACCATCCTGCATATCAGATATTTACATTATGATTCATAACAGTAGCAACATTACAGTTATGAAGTAGCAACGAAAATAATTTTATGGTTGGGTCACAACATGAGGAACTGTATTTAAAGGGACAGAAAGTTGAGAACCACTGCATTAACCTCTAAGCTAATTGTGATCCTTAATACCTCTGCTTTTCTTTTTCTAAATCTGCCATTTTAATCTCACACAATCCCCCTCACATACCTAGAATCTACTCACCTGGGGTGCTTTTAGAACAAACCAAAGCCAAAGCCCCATCCCCAAAATTCTGACTGACTGGCCTGGGGAGGCAGGGGTGGTCTGGGCACAGGTATTGTTTGTGGCTGCTTTTTACTCTCAGGTGATTTTAATGTACAGCTGAAGTTTTCAACTGCGACCCAAAACAGAATTCAGTTTTCCCAAATGCATACCTTGTTTTCTTGCATCAAATTTATTCAGCTAGTTTTCTCTGATTCCCTTCCATTTCTTTCCCTCAGAGTACCAGTAGTCCATAGTACTTTAACAAATTTGTTCAATTTAATAACATAAATTAACCTGCAACTTTCATTCAAACCATCACCAACAACTTCCTTCCTTCCAACCATTTACCACGGGTACATATACAGCAAGTAGGTTTCTATAAAGTTTGTTTTATTTTTGGCACCTAGACCTGACTTCCGGTAAGTAACCTCTCTGAACCTGGCTTTCTCATCTCTAAATTAAAGATTAATTAAATGACCGTTAAGTTTCTTTCTAGCACTAAGAGTATGAGTCTACAATTATTTCATCAAAAGGAACTCGGACTACTGGTGAATGATGGAAGCTTCTGGTATATGTTTCCAGGTACCTAGTTTAAAACAGTTTTAGGTTCTCTGATGGTTTTTGCAGTTAGAATTATTACCATAACTACATGACTCTTCTGACAGGTAACACCAATCTTTTTAATAGGACAAAAGAGAACATTTAGGTCTGCTTTTTAGTCGCAGTGATCCCAATGCAACCAGGATAATGGTAAGAAGTATGATCACACAAGTTCTTAAGTCTAGATGCCAAGTTCCTGCACCTTTTACAAACTGATTACATCAACTTGCTCATCTAAATCTGGCCAGAGGAAGCACGCATGCTCAGTCTTCAAATGAAGTGAACTTTAATATTAGCATATGAAACATGATCATGGCAATAAAGTCATTTGCTACTTACTCCTGGGTGCTAAGTGCAAATAATATATGCAGAAAAGCATCCCATGTCCTCAATTACGGTCAAATACAATAATTAGGAAGGGAAGGCCTGCTAGTAGAGAATGAATGGTAAAAGCTAACATGCAGCGGAGAGGTGCTGGGTTTGCTGCTGAGAGATGAAGAAAATCCTGAATCCAGCGAGGGTCCCGGTTCTGCCCTAGGCATCAGGAACAGTTTATCTGCACAAGCCAGGCTTTTGTTCTTCATCCTCAAACTGAAGACATCAAGCTGAGAAAACAGTTCAAAACTGCCTGATAAAAATCATCTGAGAAGTGTTTTTAAAAACCAGAATACCATGCCCTGGCCTGTGTTTCTCAATGGTTAGAGCGTCGGCCCTCACACCGAAGAGCCTCAGGTTCGATTCCCGGTCAAGGGCATGTACCTGAGTTGCAGGTTTGTTTCCTGGCACTGGTTGGGATGCATGGGGGAGGCAGCCAATTAGTGTGTCTCTCTCATACGGACATCTCTCTCTCACCCCTCCTCCATTCCACTCTGTCTACAAGCAATGGAAAAATATCCTTGGGTGAGGATTAAAAAACAAAACCTGAATACCTAGTTCCTGCTCTAGAAATGCTTCTGATACAGTGGGTCTGAGCTGTGGCACAGCCTTCTGAAATTGTTCACTTTTTAACTGGTGACCTATTTGTTTTCATACTTCGTTGAGAAACATTAAGCAAGACAGACTCTGAGATCCCGTTCCAGCTCTGGCATCCTTCTGCATACAGAATAATGCCCCTGGTAGGTGTTCAATAAATGTAGCGACATGGCTTGGGAGTAGTCTGAGCAAATATTAGAAGAATCAACACTTGTCAATTAAGTACATGGCTATTTGGGTTATATCTAATCAGTAAAATAATGGGGAAAAAGTCCTCCAACTGTCAGTTGGCCAAAAGAAGGACTTAATGTTTTGTTTTCAAGATATTCAAAGATTCCAAACTATTTCTTGCAATTTAAAAAAAATCTATATGGTGTAGCGTTTTAGATGAGAACTGTCTAGACACTTTGTTTCAGTGTTTCAACAGGGAGTGTATTTTTTTTTTTTCTTTGCTAACCAGCTATGCGTAAAAACGGCCATGAAATATTAAGAAACCCTCCATTAAGAAAAGATTTAGGAAAAGGAGACAATTTCAAAAACTAAATCAATCTTCCAGAAATGAATTCTCTGAGTTGCTTCCAATATCAATTTTAGGGTAAAAACACGATTAGTTTCTGACTTGCTTCCTTTCACTTTAAAGACCACTGTTTTTTAACTTTTCTTTTTCTTAGTCCTAACTGGAACATTCTAGGTTTGGATTTTGAAAACCAGAAAATAATTGTAACCGACTATAACTTAAGGATTCACCTTAGGCCTTCACAAAAAGAAGCATTATCTACTTTTTTGCATTTCATTTTTCCACTAGGTTCCATTTTATAAACTCTGTTGACAGGAAACTACTCAATTACAGGAATCCGGATTGGTTTCATTCACAATTAAATTCTCTAAAACTCCCTGGGAAAAGAACTGGCAGTCAGAGACCAGGCTGGAAAGACTCTATTGAACAGAAAGGCCCACTCTGTCGAGCTGCAGAAGAGGAAGAGAAACAAGACTGAGGAACAGAAAGGACAGGTTGGCCCATCTACCTGGCATGTCCGTTTCCAGGGAGCAGGATCAACACAGGGCAGTGGGACTGAAGAGATGTCAGCTTTGCTGGTGCTTTCAGGGCCTTAGCACTTTAAATGACGATCAGTATCAGGTTCAAAAGCACTTATGGGGACACACCCTAATATTTTTTTCCTTCTAGGTTTAAACCATCATATAGGAGGAAGTTTTGAATCCAAATGTTTTTGCTTTGCCACCTGACAAGCCTGCATTCGCCTGCACCTCTAACCTGTTGCTGCTTCCTAATGTGGGCCTGACATTCAGGCAGAGGACACACAAACACACAGCGCTGAGCAGCAGCCAGCGGCTCAGTACTGTGATCTTAATGCATTCCGCAAAGAGCCAGAAGTTAAAACTCCCCAGCATACCTCATGCTCATAAAAGTTACACATTTCTTTCAATAGAAACTACAGCTTCTTAGTCTGGTTATTATAACTACAGACAGTCCTCACACCAGCTCATTATGCCAAGGGTCTGAATAATAACAAAAACGCTACACAGTATTTTGAGGGAGCCTGTACTTACACTTCAGTCATTAAGGAGTCACATTCTCAATGAAATACTGAGTGTTAAGGGGCCAGTGATAGCATCGCAGAACTTGAGTACCAGAGGGAAGAAGTTCACATTTTGAAATACTGGGTCATGAAGTAGCCTCCAAAACACAGATATGCATGTGCTTTCAGAGATGAGAGATACCATTTGATTATCAAATGTCACAAGAGGTTTAGTGGCTTGATGGGGCAGCATTGAAACAGGCTTCTATCACCCATGCCTTGTCTGAATGAAACAAAACCAAGGCCAGGTTACAAAGAACAGGACTTCTAAAGCTAGGAGCCCAATTGTCTAAGGGATACCCATCCAAACAAAAAGGCTGGATAGGAGTTTTGAAAGCCTAAATCCTGGGTTTACAGTATGGCATGTTCTTCTCAAACCCGAGGAATTGTTCAGGTTTGACATACATACCATTTAGGCACAGGGAGTCAGTGACACTGAGTCTGAGGATTCACTGGAACAAAATGTTGTCAGACCCAAAGGGACTAGCTATGCAGTGGTTTTAGCTAAGTAAAACATTTAAAATATTTACTTTTCCCATAATATAGTTTCAGGCCCCCTGATTCCTTATTCCACAGGACATGATGACAAATAATGTGACCAGGCCACGTTAAAGACTCACTAAAGGACATGAAAAGGTAGGGACAGGAATGTTTTTAAAGCATCTTTCTGCTATTGGGAACTACTCCCTTGGTGCACTCTGCCTTCTAGAATGTTTTATTACAGCGACAGTGCCTGAGACTCCCAGCATGCCTGCCGAACTAAATCCTTTTAAGTTTTGCTGATGAAGACTAACTTCTGATTAATCCAAGAGTTAAGATAAATATTTTTAAGAACTTCTAGATATGGGCCATTCCAAGACACTAAGACCTACACAAAGCCTCTTGCTTACAAAACAGCCAAAGTGGGAGTGATTGTTTATACTAATTACATTTTTACTTCATAGCAACTCACTTGGGAATTTGTTGAAACAGAATTTGATTACAAATTTTGATTAATGCATTTTCCAGGAAACATCTAGTTCAAAATTTGAAGTCACCTGTGTCTAGATTCAGGACATTAATGGAAAGAAATTAAATGAGTGTGCATGACCAGTCAAAGCAAATGACCAACATCACCATAACAGTACAGGCCAATAAATGAAGAAATCCAGAGACAGTTTTGTTAATTAATATATTTCTGCATTATAGTTAACATATGTACTTTCTTCGTATCACCTTATTTTCCGTTATGTATTGATATTTTGTTATATTCAGACATGAGTACATTTCAACAGTCTTTTGCAATAAATATCATAAAATAATAGAGATTCGCATAATAAATATTCTTTACAATAAAAAAGTTTAACAGACTTTTGTCTTAAAAATAGTCAGAATTCAACTTTGTGATTTATACATAAAATATACAAAAAGCACCACAATTTGTGGCTAAGGCAATGAGAACACAGAAGAGATTAGACTTACTCAGCTGTTAACTAACCAAGGCAAAGGGACCATTCAGGAGCCAAGATCACGTCAGGCAGCATACCTCTCTGACACCTGCAGACTGATGAGCTATAAATATCACCTTCAGTAACCCAGGTGCCCTCAACGACAAGAGAGATTTGGTGAAAGGTGTGGGATGTGGAAGGAAGGCAGCTGAGACCTTCACGAATAAGAAAGCTAGAATAAAGATCAGCAAGAGACAACCAATATATCTCCAATGTGAAGAGTGAATCTAACATTCCATACCAAAAAAACCCCAAACAAAACCATGGCATCACTACAATAAGACAATGCCAAAACTGAGGGGAGGGAACTCTGAGGGGCAAGAAGGCAGTGGTTAAAGGAAAACTTTTATGTTATAACAAAAATATATCCCCCATGCTACTTAAGGGTCCAATGCTAGTAAGACGGCACTAACTGGAGAGAGACTGAATACATAGCTTATTTAAGCAATTAAAGGGTTGCTTTTTTAAACACCAATTTCCCTGCTCCCAGAATAACCCCATCAAAAACAGCTGTCAATCACTGTCCCCTAGGGGTGTGTGTGTGGGGGGGGGACGGTTGTTGTGTGGGCAACTTTGGAAAGTTGCTTGCAGACTAAAAAGGCTACAAAAACCCCAAGCCAGTGGCTCCCAACACCCTCTTGGTGGGTGGCAGAGGCTCTCGTCCTGAGCGGGACCCAGTCCATTCTCATTGATTGTCCACCAGAGGGTACCATCCACAAGTCAAGCCTTGGGAACAGAAGGAGAGAAGGCAGGCAATGGGAAAGTCGTAAAGAAAATAAAATCAGTATCAAATAGCATCTTTTCCAACAGCCACAGCTCGAAAGTTAGGAGTTCAAGAGGTCCAACCCACCTCCCAAATCATGAAGGCTTCCCCTGAGCCCGGGAGGGGCAGCTCTCCAGCTTACAGTAGACAGTGTTGGAGTTCTTACATCTGCACCCTGGGCGGTGGGTCCAGTCATAGCACCCCCTGCAGAGCTTCAGGCACCCCTTGGCAGGAGGGTAACAGAGTAAGCAAGGTAGAAACAGAGACATGGCTCCCATGCACAGGTACCGAGAGCAGCAGTGTGACTGGGAGCAGGAGCAAGGGCTATCCGAGTACGAGTCGCCCTCATCGTCGTTGGAGCAGTGGTAGAAGATGCCCTTGACCAAGCACATGCAGGTCCCGTACTCCACCATGCTCTCTGCCGAGCAGAGGCACTGCCGGTCACAGGCCAAGCAGGACGGCAGGGTCCTGGGGGCCGTGCACTCGCCACACTTGCACTTCCCACACTGCTCACAGATGAACTTGTGCTGGGTCAGGTCCTCTTTCAAAGAGCCCTTCAAGTCATCCACCGTCAGCTGCTTGGGCTGGGTCCGGATGGCCCTTTCAGACCGATGAGCAGGGATAGGTCTGGCGGGCGGTGACCTTCCCAGCAGCCCCTGCTCAGATGATGCGCTGCTATTGCTCCCAGAACTGGCCGCGCTCCCAGTGCTGGTCGATCTGCTCAGAACAGGGCCTCGGGCGTGATGTGAGAGTCCCGCGTGTCCCAGGTGGCTCGCAGGTCTATGCTCGTAGTTGTTATTCACATTAATTGGTATAATTTCATGAGTCCTCTCATGCTTTTCTTGTCTCGGGGCTGTTCGAGGAGCAGGTCTTTTCACTACTGACGGCCCTTCCGTGTATTCATTGCTGCCTCTGATGGCCTTGATCTGGTCTAGGGACAAAATAGCAGCAGGTGGGATCTCTCTGTCATAGTCGAGCCGCTGCCGGCTGTCCAGGGCGGGCGGCTGGGTCACGACCAATGAACTGCCACTGCCATGCTGGTTTGGGGGATCCATGTGTAGTGATCTCGAATTCTGGCAATCAGTGGAAACCTGGCATGCATCTGAAATCCTAAAAGGAAATCGAACATGAAAAAGACAGAGAGAAAATAAATGACAGGAAGTATTTTGGGAGGGGGTGCGGGGGGAGAAACTCTGTCAAGTCACAAATTGCCTAAAGCACCTGGTAATGATCACCTTCATCAGTGGATTACAATGATGCTGGGGTTCTGGCCAGAGTCCAATCCAAGAGAGGCCGAGGACCACATCATGGAAGAAGAATGCGAGCAAGAGACCCCGTGCCATAAAAATTAGGCTATTCAACTTGTAAAAAGCAGAATCAAGAAGTAATGCCTTCCTGTTGGTGAAACTAACAAATAACGAAAATACGCCCTTGTAGGGAATACTGAGCATGAGCACTGGAATAGAGAGCTCAGCATCAGTTCATCTCCATAAAGGAAAATTCCACTTAAAAACGGCTTTGGTGCTGCTGCTTTTGTGCCATTTGTTTGCTGTTAGAAGCATTTGATTCATGATGAAGAAACTAGTCAAGGTATATACTTCATTCATTAAAAAAGAGATCCCAAACTAAAATGGAGTCTCAAAATAAGAAGTCATTTTCTGTAGCAACCAGGATTTTCAAGCTAGCTCGTGGAAGAGACGCAAAATGAATACAGACGAGTATAGCAGTTCTTGCGTGTTTATAGTGTGTGTGTGAACACACACACACGCCTCAATGTACAGTTCCATTCATGTTGGAGTATTCACATTTGAAATCATGAAAAGACTTTTTAAAGTTTAAATAAGGGCTCACTCACATAACAAGATAACTTTTCGTGCACAAACAAATGTCAGGCCTTTAAAGCAGTACGAGGAAATCCTGGCCATTTCAATTATCTGTATTTCCTCTAATTTAAAAATCTGCATTGACATGACAGCCTGATTTTCAAAAGCACTGCCAACTCCAAATTAACGTGCTGCTTGCAATAAAATAAGTACGGCAATACCCTGATAAAAATGAGCAGTTGCGTTTCCTTACCAACAGTAAATGACTTCTCACTTATTATGCATTCCTTATAAAACAAACGACCAAACATAAAAACGTTTCCGTTTTCAATTAGTGGTAAACTAGAATATTTCTCACACAAATTCCTTCCGGAGTCTACAGATTCCACTCAATTCAAGAATGAAAAGAAAAATGCCCTTTCTCCACTGCCACTTTGAGCCCCCCCAAAAATAATAATAATAAAATAAAAATACAACCACCACCAGCTTAAGGAATAAAGCAAAAAGAAGTCCATTTCACCTAATAACTAGAGTGAATATCTTGTATGTTCATTTCCGGGGGTCCCTTCCCTCCTCCCAAGATTCTGCTTGATTCGTCCTCTCTGTCCATGGGGACCAACACGCGCACAACCTGCCGGGTTCAATCCCGGAGCCCTAAAGGCTGAGAAAAACCAGCCTGTCGCCACCGCACATCACTCCTCACTTGGTAACCCAGGACTTGGACAGCAGAGTGTGTCAGAGAACAGGAAGGAAACACGATGGAGAAGGATGTGAAGAGTGTACAAACCCCAGGCACGCTGTGGTCACCAAGTCCCCGCTGGCTGGGAAGGCCAGCAGAAGGTGAGCGAGCCACCTCTGGCCTGAAGCAAGGCCCCCTGGGCAGCAGGTACAATCCTCCCTGCCCCCCCCCCCCCCCCCACCCCCCCCCACACACACACCACCACCACCACCCCTACAACATGCTCACTGGCTCTGGGCAAGCGGTCGCCCCGCGAAAACACGACCCAAGCCGATACCTTCTCGGACAAGTCGCTCATACACTGAGGACCGCCATGGGTTCTCCAAAACCGGTTTGCGTCCCCACCGCGGGGGCGCACCGATCCCGAGCGGGCCCGCGGCACGGCCGGTCCGCCGCGCGCGTCTGCACCTGGGCGCACAGCGGCCTCCGGGGCCGGGGACGGAGGCGCGGGGCCGGGGCGCAGCGCGGCGCCGCCACAGCGCCCGGCCGGCGGGGGAGCGCGCCCTCTGCGCTCCGAGCCCGGAGCGCTGAATAAATAGTTGACGGAGAGGAAGGAAAAGGAAAAAGTTATGAATGAAAACAAGCTCTCTCCCCCGCTCCAGCGGGCGGGGGGGTGGGGGGGCGGAGGCGGAGGTGTCCATGACTCGGAGGGCGGACTGCCCTTTAAAGGGGCCGCGCCGTCCCCGCCGCTCCGCGGCTGGCAAACGGGCAAAACGTGGGGCTGGGGGACGCAGGCTGGTTCTGTCTGGGGGGGGATCCGAATTCCGGGTCTGCTCACCGCACGCGCGCGCGCGCACACAAATACACACGCGCGCACATGCGCGTGCACGAGCGCGCTCACGGCCCTGCCCGGTGCCCCGTCGCACGGGGACCCCGCCACAGAAAGCCCGACGCCCGCACAAACCCAAAAGCTCCGAGCCCTCCGGGAAGTAACCCCATAAGACTCCTCGAATCCACCTCTCACGTGAGGGTTCCCCCAAAAGGACACCCGGGCCATGGCGCCGCCGCTTCAGGACACGGGACGGAGACCCTGCCTGGTTGTCCTCCGCCCACCCGGCCCCTGGCCCGCGCCCGCACCTGCCGCCCGCCCGCCCCACACTCACCTAGGCCGCGGCGGGGGCGGGGGGCCCAGGTCCCGGTGCGGGCGGCGGGCAGGCGCCGCATCAAGCGCGGCGCGGCGGGCGAGGGGGCATGGCCCGCGCCGCCGCCGGGCAGGAGCGCTCCCCGCGGCCCCCTTCCGGCCGCGGAGCTCACGGCTCCGGCTCAGCCCGCTCACAGCTCGCCTTGGCCTCGCGGCTCAGTAGCATCCGCCTCTGGGCTCTTCTCCGGCGGCCCGTCCAAGAGCCGGAGCGCAGTCCCCCTAGGAGGCTCCGCACCCTCGGGCAGCAGGGGAGCGGCGGCGAGGTCGGTGCGCGCCGCGCGCGGAACGGAGGGCTTCTCGGTGCCGATCGCTGCTCGCGCGACAGGCGGCCGTGGACGGGCAAGCTCCGCGTCCCGGACTTTCGAGTCTCCGCGGCCCGGGTCGAGTCTCGAACCGGCGTCTGCGATGGGGCCCGGGAGCGCACGCCCGAGAGGCCGAGGCCGCCGCTCCCCGGGGGTGAGGGTGGGGGTGGGCCTTTTTACCCGCTCTTTTCGAGGGGCGGCGAAGGGAACGAGGTTGGGGGGCTCTCTTGGGGGAAGAGGCGGGGCGTCGTCCGGCCCGCGCAGGTCCAGGCACCGTCCCGATCCGCACTCTGCGCAAGTGGGGCGCCGCGTCCCGGGCGCCGCGGTCTTGGCAGGTCAGCCTCCGGGGCCAGCGGTCACTCCCAGTCCTCCGAACCTCCCGGTCATCAGCCGAGGAGCCTGCACCCGAGGGTTGGAGATAAAAACACATTAATTTCCCGGTTTCCAGGCGCTCGGACGCGGGGCGGGCCGCCCGCCGCCCGCTGCCATGTGCTGGCTGTTGCTGCTCCCGGTGATTGACAGGCCGGCGCACAGTCGGCGTGTCAGCAGAGAACCACAGTAACATGCAATCTTGCACGTTTTTGCCGAAGTGCTTTTGCCCCTTCGGAATGCCCGAGAGTTCAAACAGCGTTCAAACAACGCCTCTGCGCATTGGAAATCAATACACAGAGACGGGAAATTCAGGTTTTAAACAATTGCTTCTCCGACAATGCCTAAACAAACAGCGTTTGGTCCACACGCCGACAGCCAGCCCCTCTTCCGCACAGACCGCCCAGTTTGCCACACACCGGACCGCTTCAGAGGTTAAACTTGTTACTTCTCGGATAAGGGGGGGAAAATCAAAGGGACCCTGCGGGTTTTCTTCCTCCCCCCCCCTCCCCCCCCCGCTCCCCCCACCCCCGCCCGCCATAGCATTTACTTCGAGAGCACTGGTTTTAGCAGTGGGAAAGCGACTGGAAATTCGAATCGCAACCACATTATAAAGCGAGTTCAAAGAAACATTCAGTTCCTTGCAAAAGCCAACATTTCTCACCTAATCTTTCCTAAGACGCCTACAGAAGGAAAGGAAGAAAACGGCTCTTACCTAACGCAAAGGTTGGAAATTGCTTTTCAGACACGTTTACAGCGGCCGTAGCTACTCCTCATCCGGGGCAGGGAACTCTGCTGCTATCACTCTGCAAACCACCGCATGCCTCGCAGAGCAATCCCACTCTAGCTCCCCACAATTTCAGCTCCTCGCCTCCACCTCCACCTCCACTCCAAGACACGCCTCCCGTGATATCATGTGTCAATCACATGGCTGCCTGAAAACCTGGAACAGGATTTCGCCCGCAGTTGTTTCCTCTTTCGTTGTAAGTGCACCAGCTTGGAAAGGTTGCACTGGACACGCATGCAGTAAACATCCTCTAGAAAGATGCCTCTGACAATCCTGCAAATGCAGTTTGCCATAAAACAATACCTTCAAATTCAGTCATCAATCTTCAGTTATCTCAGTAAAAAAAAAAAAATGGATTCTACCTTTAAAGTTGAGTTCGAAAATAATTTTGAAGCATAAAAGAAGATTAAAAAGTTGTCTGTGAAGCCATCGCTTCTGATCAGCTAGAGAGAAACTGTATTTTGATATAAAAAGATGATAATATTACAGTTCCTATTTAAAGCAAAGTTCAGAATATGCAAAATCTGAAGGTTTGAAAGGTGGACTCCTTACTGCAAATGTGTATAACAGTATGTCATGGAGCTGAAATTTCTTGCTGTCCATTTTATCATGCTTGCTTTATCATCTTGATTTGTGATATAATTTCTAAAAAAAAATCAATCAAATTTTAAAATTCCAGATTCCTTAAATTTTGTAATATATTTGTATACTTTTGCAAAAAAAAAAAAAAAGCGCAGCCCATTTATTTTTTTAAATTAGCTAAATGACAGCCAATTAAAATAGAAATAATTTACCAAAAAGCTTTATAATTCTTTTGTCACTGGGATTAAAAAATAATTTTTACCAGTAGGAAACTTGCTTTTTGTTTCCTTTGAAACTACTAGATTTTAGATGTTTATTATCAAAATCACACTTAATGCTGCAGTTAGGCTAACTAATGTAAAATTTAAGGTTCCTCAGAGACTTTTAAAAGACAGCTAAAAGTAAAAAAACACATAGTAAGTGGAAAGGAAATACTTTCCTCAGGTACTACATTTAAAAAGTAACTTAAAGTCTTCTCAGCAAACAAAATAAAACTCTAGGATTAAGTCCCATATAAATCTGAGTTTTTGAAATTTTCAGTTCAAAGTAATTTTTACATCTCCTTCTTCACAATAACAAGTGATTCCGTTGAAACTAGTTTTGTTCTCTGCTGGACTATGCATGTTTGAGCATTAAGGTGTCTTTGGAATTACCTGTAAGGAACCTAGGGCAGTGCTAAGACCATCAGCAAGAATAAAGCAGCACCAAAAAATAACATAGACCAAAAATCATCTTTACTCTTACGCTTACTCTCTTAAATTGTAGTAAAGTAGGCTGTTTAAAAATACAAATCAACTTTATTATAAAACATCTATTTTTTTTATAGATCTCATTATATTCTGGGATGTAATGAACTTTAATGATGGATAGCCTTTTTTACCATTATGAATCGATGTGTAATCATCAAATCAGAAATAGAATATCATGTCATGGGACCTTATTTGTTTCTTCAAAATTGTTTTCTCAGCCATCAGCAACCGTTTGGGATGGAAGGTCAGTTCACCAATATGATAAAACCAGGAGAGGGAGCACTCAACATTCTACTTCCATAAATCCTACAAAATAGGTTTCATAGATTCCTATCACAAATAAACTTCCGACTATTTCCAGCATAGATGTCTGAAATTACAATTTCCATGAGATTAAGACTTTTAAAATTATAATAATCTATAAAACCTGAGACATTTTATCTATAACACCTATCTATACATGGGTCATATTCTATTTAGAAATAAAATACTATGCTGCACAAAGTTGACCAGTGACCCTTTACATCATTTAGCACTAAAATACACCAATATGTGTTTTTTTTTAAATACTAGATTACAAATAAATAGAGGGATAGCCTTGCCACCTGGATCTAGAAGACATTTAATAAAATCCCCCTTTCGTTTTGATTGCCTACAACTATAAGACTTTATAGAAATTCTAAATTTTCAGCTTAAAATAGTGTTTTTTGTTTAGTAAGTTTAATTACTGTGCACCTTGGCTACAATTATATAGCTGGAGTATAAAATTCTTAGAAGGAAAAACAATGTAAATAAATATCCTTGGGAAAGTCTTACAATAATTTTCAGTTTACTATATTAAGATATATCTAAACGAATAAAGTGGATGGTAACTGAGCCCTGACTTGTTCATTGTCATGTGAAAACAAGATCAGCCATCTCTCCTGCTGATTTGATTTTTGAAGGAAAAAAAAAAAGGTAAAATGAAAAAACAATCCAGTAACTCCACCCAACTGCTAGTGATTTAAAAAAAAAAAAAAAAATGGAGTACGAAGAGGCTTAACTTATTCATTTATCTACTTTATATGCCAAAATTGCAGACCCATAATGTATTCCAAGCTCTCGAAAAATAATACCTTAGTAATTCTTGTAATGTGTCTGCGGAGTCGTGATAACAAACCCAATCTTTTATCTTGTTGAGAAGCAAACAAAAATAATCACA